GAAATAACAGCAGAGTAAATGAGTAGTTACTGGAGGATATGAAAGCAGAAAAAAAATCTGAAGTATAAGGAGATATAGTCAGGCTGTTTTTAAAATAAATTTAGATACAGAAGAGGTAACTGTGTGGAAAACCTTTAGAACTACGGTTGAAAGAAAAAAGAAGCCCACTTCCGAATTTCAAGTTCTATTGGGATTGTTTGTGTTATAAAGAGTTGACTAATAAATTTGTGGCAAGAATTATTTCTGTATTCAGACAAAATGTCCACAATTCATTATGAGAGAAGATGATACCTATAGCTTCTGCTTCCTGCAGTGGCACTCTCATCACATGTATTGGTAAGTAGAGAGGTGCCAAGGAGAAGTAGTTGACAGTTTTCTCCATAGCATTCATAGTCATGCTGTTCAGCAGATAAGCCTCATACAGTTAGTATGTCCTGGTTTTTTGCTAAATCCTGGGAAAAATGAAAAGAGTCTTGCTTATCCAGTTGTGTTTTGCTGCTTAAGTGTATTAGAAAGAATACATGCAGGAAGCCTATTTTCAGTACACCACTGTGTTACTCAATGGTCTTGAATTTCTGGGGTCTTAAAATAGGGTTAATAATATCATGGAGAAAGTCATACTGCCAGGTAATCTGGTTGAGATGGAGACAAAGCATAAACCACAGGAGGTGTATATGTATACTAAGAAATTTGACTGGTTATTGGAAACAAGAAACAAATGTATTTGTTTTCAGTAGTAAATAAGATTTTTTCTCAGGATATGAGTATCTCAGGATAAGAATTAGTGAGGAAATAAAAGCATGGCAAGGAGGGCACAATATTAAATTATTTTCTTAGGTAGGATATTAAAAATTAATCCCTCTGTTTATCAGTACTCAATGTCCTGAATTAATTGAACAGCTGTGCTAACATTAAAATAACATTGCTTGCTGGCTCCCAACAATAATTGCACGGAAGAATGTTTTAAGGCTTTGTTTTCTGTTGGAAGAACCAGATCCTTATCACTAACAGTATGAAAGATGTAGAAATGTAGAAGTATGTGAATAATCACTCATGCAGAGATGACCCATGTTAATGTTGTAGTGTATTTCTTTCCATATTTGTTGCTTTGCCAATTTCACACAGTTACTCTTTAATGTATATGAAGTGATTAAGTCTTTGTGCAATTACAAAATAAATTTATGTTCAGTTTTTGAGAAAAATAAGGAAACTATGAAAACAGTATAAAGAAGAGCATGTATGATTTCTAGAAAACTAAAAATAATTTGGAACTACTTTTAATGACAAGGGTGGGCAATTACACTTGCTAAAATGAGTAGGAAAATCAGCTCCAGCCATATATGAATTACTTTTTATTTTGTCTGTTTTGTGTATTTTGCAGCAGGCTCTGAAGTAATTTATAAAAGAGGCTTCATATGTGTTCTGAGGGGGGAGCACCATAATTAGAATATGGTGGTTAGCTTGGAATAGGCATCATCAATGATTTGAATGCATGCTGTAGACCACGTATGCTTTGAAAACTACAAAGCTTCTCTAAATCTTGGAGAAGCAACACAGTGAAAAACCTATCACTAAGCTTTTTTTTTTTTTTTAAATTGCATTTTAGGTTTTGGGGTACATGTGAAGAACATGCAAGATTGTTGCATAGGTACACGCATAGCAGTGTGATTTGCTGCCTTCCTCCCCTTCACGTATATCTGGCATTTCTCCCCGTGGTGCTATCTCTCCCCAACTCCCCACCCCCTGCTGTCCCTCCCCTATTTAGCTTTTGAGGGTTCCTATCTTGAATAGGACTGTTAACAGTAAACTCAGCCTGCAGTTGATTTTCTTTTCATCATGAACATATTATCTGGGTCTCGTGAATTACAAACCCTCCTCTTGGCTTAACATTCTCTCCGATGGCTTTCTGCACAATGGCTTCCTCTTCTTGCTATCATGGTAATTCCTCAGGAGACATACCATAGGTTTTCTTGGTATCAGCTAGGAAAGAAAAGAAAATTTAATCAGTGGGCAGATTTCTTTGGTATTTTCCATATGATACTGGGACCCCTGTTTGTTAGTTTTGTCCTGTTTCCTGTTACAGAAAAGGCTGAAAATCAGCATGCAGATGAATGAGATAGCAGATGGTTTCCCATGATAGAGACCAACAATTGGTGAGATAAGATTGGTAATGACAACCATACATAAGAGAAAAGGCAGAATTGGAGTGCAGTATTTTAAAAGCTCTCAGGCCCTCAATAAATGCTTGCTATTGTAAAAAAGAGAGAGAGAGAAAGAAAAAAAAAAGTTCTGTATAATACATCAATAACATTTTAATTTTCAGTTATTATTATTTGAGTTTTATTTCCCATCTCTGTGATGCAGATTTAGGGGTGGTGTGGATATTCTTAGAGTGGAAATTGTTGAACTCTTAGATTAAAACTACTCTAGTTCCTAATTTGCCCTGTAACTACACATATAGAGAAGATCATTCTCATAAGTGCTAGTAAGTAGGAGACAAAGGTTTTGAGGGGAAATAGAGAGAGATACACAGAACTCTGGGAGTAGTCCTAAGCTGGATCTTCAAAATGATTCATGTCTTAGAAAATGTGATTTATGAGAAGTTAGGACCGTAGGGTCATTTTGCCCGAGGAAAGATTACTATGAGGGTCTTTCATGATAGGGGTCAAATATATGAAAGATTATTACAGGGAGGATGCTGACCAGCTTTTCTACAACTCAACTGGGGATAGAAACAGCTTTAAAATACAGTGTACAGAATTTAGACTAGATGAAGGTAGTATGCTTTGAAAGTAAGAGTTGTTAAATGTTAGAATATTTTCTCGGCAGGTTATGAAATCATTTTGATGAAATTATTAATTTGTGTTTATTCAAAAATAATGAAAACATTAAATATCTAAGTATTGATATGTTACATGTCAATTACCTATTGATATTACATATCAAAAGTTGTATATTATACATGTTTTGATATATTACATTGTATTGATATATTACATACCAATATTTATATATTATATATGTGTTTATTATATTTGTGTGTGTATATATAAAGAAGATAGATTTTTAACTTCAATGGCATAACTTGTTAATTTTTTTATTTTGGAACTTACACTGAAGTAGATTTCAAATACTGTTATCAGAGGCTTAAATTGAGTATGTTGACAATACCCCGAACTACTGGATGATATTTGTGATGAGTTTCACCCTGTATCAATACAGAAGGGTGTTGCAGTTTAGCAAAAGAAAAGATAATATGCTGTGTTAAACCTCTGCTTTCTGAGTGAGGACAGTGAGGAAGTTTAACATTTTCCTTTTTTTTTTTCTTTTCTTTACTGAAAAGAAAGTCAAGCCAGCAATATGTTTCTGGGAGAGCATTGATGCATTTCACAATACTGGGAACAGTCTGCTTGGCTTTTGGGGGCTTCCAGGATTCAGAATTGTCTTCTCTTGAATAGGTCTGTGCACTTTTTTTCCTTCAGTCTTTCTCCTCAAGCAGCAAAACAGACCATTTAACTTCCAAATATTTACAGCTTGCAAGTAGATAAACTTCCCAAATCTGTTTTTTATTTATGAAAAGAAAAACAATCAGCCACAATAATCTATAATACTTTTGAATTAAAGTTATTAGATGCCCTAGGGTCTTTTCATAGCAGATTTTATATCTCACCACCATTAATCTGTTATCAGAATTATGTCTTTCTCTCTCTCCTGATAGTTATTTTTAGACTAACATATTCATACCTCCTTCTGATGAAAAAACGTTAAAATTGTGAATAAGGCATATGAGAAAACCCTAAAGCTCTGTTTTACACAAATGAGACTCATAAATACCGGTTTTTCAGGGTAAAGCATTGTGTATTATTCCAGTTTGTACCACAGGGAAAGCCTAGTCACACACGAGGCTTCATTAAAATATGGTCTAAAGAAATGTTTAATGGTTGAAATATAAGGTCTTATTCTAAATATCTGCCTTCACTTTGTAATAATAGAAATTGAACTGAAAATGTTCAGTAGGTGATTTAAAACATCCACTCATTTTAAACATAATGTCTAGGCCTGCAAAAGTGACATCATGTTCCAAATGTTACAAATACAGCATTTTTCCTTGATACCTTTCTAAGTAGATTGTTAAAAGTTTTTATTCCCCTTCATATATGATGCCACTTACCTAAGATTATTTTATAGGTGTATTCTTTTTTTTTTTTTTTTTTTTTTCATGATCTGTGGTTTTCTTTTTAATTATCTTAAGTCTTATAATCACACATCATTTTTAAATTTGTGTATATCTCTTCTACTTTAATCCTTTAGAGGTTGGCAAAAGCACCATTCCCAATCACAAATACACAGCAGTTATACAGTTTTGTTTCTGAATGGCTGTTTTTAAAGACAATCCTAAATTATAACTTAGTTTGACTTAGATTGTAAAGAATCCAAGAGTGAAGTTTAATTGGCTACTATTTTAAAAGCATGTGACCTTATAGATCATCTATAAAATGTGTGAAGTGTTAAATAATTTTTTATATTACACATAAACCACACAAAATGCCTTTCAGTAAGTAAAAGGAACCATTTTAAATACAGGGTACTCTAATTAGATTGGCATAGTTAAGGCCAAAAATATAAAATAGCCATTGCTACCCGTTTATCTTCAACCTTGCCTTTAAGAGGCAAACGAACACAAAACACAGGTGAATCTTCCTTGGTTCTGAGACTGTGAAGGAATTGCCCCCATATTTAAATATATTCACATAACCAGTCATATAAATCTAAATATAAAACCAATCTCCAGTAAGTTTTAAGATGGCACTCACCATCTTTGCGAAAAGTTTTAACATTACTAATGAAGTCTAATCATATCTTTAGAAGGGGTGGGTGTGACAGAATTTACTAAATTGGAATTACTATTAAAATCCAAAAACTGAACATATTCATTTAACCACAAGCCAGTCTTAGTCTTAAATCAGGACTGCCCAACAAAATATTCTGTCAGTCATTCATGATGTAAATTCTGGTGTATGAGATCTATTAAAGTACGGTACACATAAAAAAGTCATGAGACATTTGTTTTGTAATAAATAAGGCAGTGGCCAATTATTACTCATTAGTAGCTTTTTTGAGATAAGCTATTAAGTCTTCCCTTTCTCCCTTCTTCTTAATGCCGACAAAGATCATTTTTGTTCCAGGGATATACTTCTTGGGATTCTCCAAATATTCCATCAGTGTATCCTCTCCCCAGATGATGCCTTTGTTTTTATTGGCTTCAGTGTAAGTGAATCCAGAGGCCTGACCTGTCTTCTGCCCAAAGATACCATGGAGATTAGGCCCAGTCTTGTGCTTGCCTCCCTTTTCCACCGTGTGACATTGGGAACACTTCTGAATAAAAATCCTCTTGCCTTTCTCAACATCACCCATATTGAATTCTTTTTAGTGGTTAGCGCAACAAAGACTACCACTCAGAAGCCGGACGTCCCACTCTCTCATAGGTGTATTCTTTAATGAAAAAACCTCAAAATACATGTCCTTAATTTGAAAACAAGGGAGAGGAGCCTTCATGTTTGTGGACTGGGCTAAACTTGTGTCTACTCTCCCTTCAAAAGTCCCATGGAAATGGCAGTAAAGACAGAGAAAAGATAATGCATTTCTGAATATACTGAGGAACATATACTCCGGAGAGCAGAAACAGGAAGAGGAGGTCTCTGCTAAAGCCGAAGGAGTCTTCCAGAGGGAACGCAGCTGAGCTCTGTGTTCTGATAGGCAGTTACAGAGAGAAGCCGAGGTCAAAAGCAGGAATGAGAAAGTGAAGTGATTGGTTACAGGTTTGGAAATGTCTCAGGTTTGCTCATTCCAACTGTCTGCGTGTCACTGCACACTTACCCCAGAAGTAAAGCAGGAGAACTCTGCAAAGGGTACCAACAATCCACAAGGGAGGGCACTGCCTCCTAACGTGTGGGCTGGTGGCCAAGTACAGCGGTCTACCAGGGGGTCAACTTGGGACATGTTGGGACTTGGAGAGTGACTTGCTGGTTTGCATGTTCCATGTAATAGCTAAAGCAAAGCACAACCTGAAGAAGTGAGCCAGGAAAGTGGATCAATCCATGCCAACAATCTGTATTAATTAACCAGATAATTAATATGTATATAAAGTAAAAGAAAGAAAAATGGAAACAAATAACCCTGAGACAGGATTTCACAAACTCTGCACTATCAACATATTGGATTACTCTTTTATTTTGAAGAAGTGTTCTGTACATTGCAGGATGTTTAGTACCATGCCTGGTCTCTAGCCAGTTGATGTTAGTAGCAAGCAACGTCCATCCCTGCCCGCTGTGAAGAAAAATGTCTCAATATCTAGACAAAGATACGGTAGCATACTCTGGAGGACACGACCAGCACTAGGTGAGAACCATTATTCCAGAGAAAATAGAAATGGTTTAGAAAAGAGATCTTTTAACTGTCAGGTCTCCATATGCAAGTCTGGAGCCTGAAAGTCTCAAGTCCTGCTTGCCTTGGCTAATTATCTCCCAACCCCTGCCCGTGTTCACTTTTGTCTCTAATTGCCCAGTGGAGCTTCCCTGGACAAGTCCCTCACCTCACCCTGCCATCTTAACTGTTTTTTTTTTTTTTTTTTTTTTAAGATGGAGTTTCGCTCTTGTTACCCAGGCTGGAGTGCAATGGCGTGATCTCGGCTCACCACAACCTCCGCCTCCTGGGTCCAGGCAATTCTCCTGCCTCAGCCTCCTGAGTAGCTGGGATTATGGGCATGCACCACCATGCCCAGCTAATTTTTTGTATTTTTAGTAGAGACGGGGTTTCACCATGTTGACCAAGATGGTCTCGCTCTCCTGACCTCGTGATCCACCCGCCTCGGCCTCCCAAAGTGCTGGGATTACAGGCTTGAGCTATTGCGCCCAGCCCATCTTAACTGTTATAATGATAATACTCTTATCCCACCCACCACTGTAACAAACAGGGTAATATATACTCCTTGCCCCTACCCCCACCACTGTAACTGATCTTACTCTGTAAGTTTCCACTGCCCACCACAAACCTATAAAACCAACTCCTATCCTACTGCCCTTTGCTAATGCCTTTTTTGGCCTTAGCCCACCTGCACTCAGGTGAATAAACAGCCATGTTGCTCACGCAGAGCCTGTTTGGGGGTCTCTTCATTTAAAGTGCATGTTTTCAGTATCTGCCTTGGTATCTTTAAAGATATAGAAGAAATTATAGTCTCTAAAATAATTTTCTGATATGGAAAATGAATAAATCAAAGGACAGAAATAATCCATAGACTTTTAAAGTATAATTATCAAAATTGTTGAAAAATTCAAGGAAATCTTGCAAAGGGGAAGGAAAAAAGAAGGTAGAAGATGTGCAAAAGGTGAAAAGACAAAGAAAATCCATTTAGGAAGCTCAGTGTCTAATAGGAACTCTAAAACCAGAGAAAAACAGCACAATAAATGAGACAAAATAATTATGACATTATTCCTAGAGTTGAAGAAAGGCATGTCCTTAGAATGAAAGGGCCCAAATAATGCTGAGAACAATGAATTCTAAGAGATCTATATCAGACACATGCTAATGTAACTCTAGAATGCCAAGACTTAAGAGAAGATTCTAAAGGTTTTGAAAAAGCATAAACAAATGTTATATCATAGGATTGACAATCATAGTCAAGTTTTCAATCTGCATCTTGAAAATGCCAGATGATAATAGGACAGTGCCCTTAATGTTCTGACAGAAAACAAACCTAATACCAAACAGAATCGAATAGGAAACTCAAAAATAGACACATGTTAATATGCTCAAGTGATTTTTGACAAAGGTACAAAAGTCATTCAATTGCCTTTTCCACAAATGGTGCTGGACGTCCAATGGAAAACAAAGTGAGTCTTTGCCTAAGTCTTACACCTTACACAAAGTCAACTGAAAATGGACCACATACTTAAATATAAAATATAAAACTATAAAACCTTCAGAAAAAAATAGGAGAATGTTTTCCAGATCAAGGGTGAGCCAAAGAATGCATAGACTTGCTACTGAGATCACAGTTTGTAAATGAAATGTTGGTAAACTGGACTTTATAAAATTAACCTTTGCTCTGCAGAAGACCCTTTAAAAGGATGAAAAGACAAGCTACAGATTGGGAAAAAATATTTACAAACCAAATAGTTGACCCAGGAGTAGTAACTCAAAAGCTAATAGTAAAAAATTTCAGTAACAGTCTATTTAAAAATTGAAGAAAAGACACAAAGAGATATTTCACCAAGGAGGATATACATTTAGTGGAAAAACACATGAAAAGATGTTCAATATCGTTAACCATTAAGAAAATACAAATCAAAACTACAATGAGATATCATTATCCAACTATCAAAATGGCTAAAATAAAAAGATTAGTAACAAAACCAATTGCTGGTGAAGATGCAGAGAAACTGGATTACTCATTCATTGCTGGTAGGATTGTAAAATGGTACAGCCCATTCTGGAAAAGAGTTCAGTTTCATAAATAAACTAAACATGCAGCTACTATATGACCCAACAATTACATTCCTGGGCTTTTAGCCTAGAGAAGTAAAAACTTGTGTTCACACAGAAACCTGTACACTCATGTTGAATGTTCACGGCAACTTTACTTGTAATAGCTGCAAACTGGAAACATCTCCAATGTCCACTAGTGGGTGCATGGTTAAATACATTGTCATACATCCATACCACGGAATAGTTTTCAGCAATAAAATAGAAGAGGCATGCAAGGGAAAGTTACATGCAACAACCTGTATGAATTTCCAGAAAAATATGCTGAGTGAGAAAGGCCAATTTCAAAAAATTACATAATGTATAATCTAATTTTTATACCACTTTGAAACAAAATTAAATGGAGAACAGATTAGTAGTTGCCAGGGGTTAAGTAAGGTGGGAGGTGAGTGGTTGTGGCTAAAAAAGTGCAACATGAGAAATGCTTGTAATGATAGAATTGTCTGTATCTTGACTATGAGTGTCAATATCCTGGATATGACATTGTGAAATGGTACCATGGGGGCAACTGGGTAAAGGGTAGATGGGATTTGTCTTATTTCTTACAACTGCCTATGAATTTACACTGATCTTTAATGAAAAGTTTAATTTAAAAATTTGATAGTGCTTGATATTATCGGTTGATCATGCTGCTCTTAGTTGAAAAAACAGATTCAGAAGGATCTGCATAATGAATCTGCCAATCGCTGAAAACTCTCAGTTATCTGTCTTGTCTTTCCTTTCAGTTTTTGTCAGGTTTCTGTTTTAATAACCTCTTAGAAAAAGGTAGTATTAAAGGAGACCTAGGACTCTTTTACCAATTTAGGATAACTTCACAATCTCCACAGATAATTTGGTATCTGTGTACACCCACACAAAAAATGAAATTCTTCTGAGTATTTTACAGGGGAAGTGCTGAATATATAAACAAAGCAGTGCTCTGGTAAAACTACCTATTGCATTGAAATAAAGAGCAGAATAAAATTATTAAAATAGCCCACCATTTTCTTACAAACTTAAAATGTTCTTCCTTTTATCTCTGGGGGTTGGATAATCCCTGTTTATTGTTCCTTTATTTTGCTGTATATCAAGTTGGCCATTTAATGATTGGCTCCTTAGCAGGGTGGATGTAGATAGAATTAAAAAATAATGAATTATGCAATTTATCATCACCTCCCTATAAAACACAAGCACATGAAGGATATGAGTTTCATATATGCTAATGTATTTATTTAATATGATTTCAACCAAACTCCTATAAAAAATTTTGGTTATGGAATCTGTTTTGGAATTTGAAAAATGTAATTCATCTGAAATGTATAAAAATAGCGAATTTTCTAGTGAGATCTAACATGTGGCATTATCACAGCCACTTTTCAAACTGCAGTTTAAAGAATAATACTTACAGTAGCATTATTCTGAGTAAAGAATATGGGCAAGAAAACTCCCCAAGAGTATAAAAAGTCCAAAAAGAGACTCTTCTATGTATGAGAGTCTAAATATAATATACTTTATTAATGTACGTATTGTTTACTATAATCTATTTTGATAAATAATAATATAATAGACTATATTATATATTATTATATAACAGAAGGAGGAAAGTACCATTAAATAAAAGATGCTGGAGCAACTGGATAACTGTTTGAAAAACAATCAACTTAGACCATTTGGTGCACTAGACACCCAAATAAACTTCATTCGATTTTAATGTTAAGTGAGAACAAAAAGATATCACACACAAAAAATTGTCTCTGAAAGTAAATATGTTTTCCTTAGAGTGAAGGAAATCTTTTAAAGCATTCAAGAGAAAAACATAAAGAGAAATATTAATACATTTGCTATATAAATGGTAAATGTTTTATATGTTGAAAATCATTCCTCTGTTAAATATTTATATTAATGATCTGTCTGTTATATGTGGTAGATGATTGATATGCCTAACATAAAACATACTCATT